CAGCAAATTCTTATATATTTACTATCATTATTTGAAGATTGCATACAAAGGCAATAATTTTATACTACTAAGCTATTACATAATTTTTAATGTATATTGCACATATATCATCATCTAAGCCAAGCCTTGTCCTAACTATATTGGGTTGGCTACATAAATCCAACTCAGCATTTCCATTTTATTAATTAATGTTATATCCATTTAAATTGTCAGACCTCAAAACATTTCTTATTATTACTACTTCAAACTAAGTCCTTATTCTTTGTTTGCCTCCAGCTAGCTCTTCTAGTCCTTCAATTTTTAACAGATCACTTCTTAATTATAATTGGTGCCATGGATAGTCTCCTTCTTATGTGGCTAAACCATGCATCTGGCTCTATTTCCCCTCACTTTATCACTTATTGGTGCTACTCTAAAGAAAGCTTGGCTGTTGGGAAAAAACAGCTTAGACTGTTTTGAAGCTTCCTGCACATGACATGTTACCCCACTTAGTTCTTTACCTCTCTTTTTAATTAAAATCAAAGATTATGGATTGCAATTAATCTTTTTACCCCAAACCCATGTAACATGACATGCACATGAAGCTTCAAAACAGCCCATGCTGCTTTTTCCAAACAGCCAAGCTTTTCCCATTATTCCTAGGTTTCTTTGAATAAGTCCACTTATGACCCTGTACTTCATTTAGCATAGAATTTATATGTCTATATATCTGCTCGTTTTCATGATTCAGATTTAAATATTAACTATCATTTGTAGGTGAAAATAGCATAAATGCTTATCAACTCAGACATGAAAACTTTATAGTGATATTACATTTTTCCTTGAAATGGTTGCAAATTACTTAATTTATGTTTCCATTCAATTTTGTCAATATATATAATAACCATGCAATAAAACATGTTTTCTATGTAAAAGGGTGTTATCTAGATTGAGTATTCTAGTGAATCCAGGAAAGTATTTGCTCAAGCATTTAATTGGGACTATTAGCAATCAAGATATGACTTGGAGCTAGTTTGCAACTATATGCCATCCTGATAAGCTAAACCAAACTATGGACATTGACCTGAATTTGGAATATCCATTTACTTCAATTACTATGTGGTTTCCAAAGGTGTCAGCTGCTAGCCTTCTGGTTAGGTATCTGGCTGGTTATAGCAGATACTTGGCTTTGAATCCCACCTTCACCTAGTTTTCAGGGGGTGTTTATGGGTTTGGGGGAGGGTTACCCGTTGGGAAAAGAAAGAAAAAGAAAAAAGTTGAAATTCTCTAAATGTTTTTTTTTAATTATCCCAAGTGCAATGAAAAACTACTTTGTCATAATTGATTATAAGACTTATCAGGTCCATATTTTTCAGTTAATGGAGCTCTGCGTGTTTTAATATTTTCTTAGTTAGTCCATCTACTCCAAACCATAATCTTCCAACTTGGGTCTGATCTTGTTTATATCAATATATTGTTTGATTTTTGTTCCCCAGTTTTTATGCATTCTAATCGATAGGTATATATTGTAACATGCCCAGAAGGTGACTAACATGATATATTTAGAATATATGTCATAAAAGTAAACCAGTCATAATTAAGTTTGCCACCCACTTAAATTATACAGCCGTTAAGTTTTTATTTCTTTCAGAAATGTCATATTTAAACTCCATGTACTCTTCAATCAATGAAAACCTCATTCAATAAGGTTTCCTACTTTCCACTACTATTTCCATCAAGATTACCTTTTGGTTTGTTTTAAGGAGATTGTTTTCTCCTTTTTGGTAATAAAGATATATAATATAGTTGATGAGAAACAGATCAATAGATATTTACAAATAAAATTGGAATACCAAATTTAAAAATCTCTCATAACAACTTAATATTTGGACATCTAACCAAAGAAGTGGTGAGTTTGGCAGTAAAAAACACAGATATTATGTGAACTTAGTAATGCATGGAGAACATGTCATATGAACTTAAAATATAAAGCTTCATTTCTACATAGTGAAGATTTTAATTGAGAAGTATTGCCGTTAAGGCTCAGTTTGGAAAGAGTATAAATACAAAAATGTACAGTACAAATTCAAACAAAATAATACAAAACACAAGGTTTTGCACTCTACATATTTGTATTGGTACTCTTTCCCAAACTAAGCCTAAGGGGAATGCACATCATTAAAGAGTATTAACTCTAAAAACCAACATGATGAGATAACTTCGGTTGTTCTTCTTCCTATTTTTTATTATGTGTTTTTAGAAACCATATCAGTGGAACTAATTTATTGTTAAAGCTCCAAAAATAGTTTACAGCTAGGGGTGCAAGTCAGGCAGACTGGGTCAGGTATATGGTCAACCTAGGCCCAACCCTAAAATTTGGGCTTAAGGCCTGATCCCGAGGTCAAGTCTGATCTTCTCAACCCGAGCCCAGCCTACACTGTAATTTGATGCAATCAGGTTGGGCTTGGGCCCAGGCCTAGGTTGACCTCAGGTTAGTCAATGAACTCGCTCTAAAATTATACATGTATATATGCATTTATGGAAATATGTATTCATATATGTCTATATATATGTAAATATGTATGCAAATATATATGTATATCAGTAAATACGTATGCAAAATTACATACGTATACATATGTGTATGAATGAATATTGTTGGACCAGGCTCAGGCCGGGTTCAGGCTACCTAAGGGCTAGGCCCGAACCCAAACCGAAAAATAAAAAAGCCCAAGGACCAAAAATTCAAGTCCAATCCATGTAAAATTTTAGGCTGAATCAGTTCGGGCTCAGGCTGGGCCCGCCCAAGTTGCACCCCTATTTACATCTTTACAATTCAGGTGGTGAAATCTTTTTGAACTGGTTGGTTTTTCCAATAAGTGGTTTCTTATGAAAGTCCCATTCAATGGATATGATAGGCATGCTATTTAAGGGGAGAGCACCTCATAGATCACTCATTGTATAATGTTCTTTTCAGGAAAAAAAAAAGATAAAGAAACTCTTTGAACAACAAATGCAGATTTTAAAGGATTTAACCGCACAGCTTTGTATTATTGCCATCATATTATATTGTTATAGTTAAATACAACTCAAATAATGGTATAAATGCCAAAGGGAATTTCAAAGTTGGAATAATATATAATTGATGTTGAATATGGTAAGTAGCAGAAAAATAAAAAGCTAGAAAGAATAAGAGAGCTGATAAAGCCCAAAAGACTTCTCATACCATAAATTTCATTCCAAATGGTTCCAAGGGTTGTATTTTCAAGATGCATTCTCAGATTTTTATTATAAAGCATCACTTGATGGTAACTCAATAAAATATAAAAGCAATGGATAGGATTTCAACTTTAGCATTTGTCTTGAATGATCTCAAGGATGCTTTAGTTAGAATCATATTGTATCTTTTGGATATATATTTATTTTGAGCGATACCTACTAGCCTTTGCTTTTCATCATACAGATAACAAAAATGAAATATTGGTTTGACAAAGTGATAAAAAATCCTTAATGTTGATGGAGAATTTCCTTCAACTGATTTGATGTTGTTAATATACTAAAATGGTACCACACATCTCCTGTACCAGCGCTAAAAATAGTCTAACCAAGAAACATTAGCAAGAGCTCATGATGCAAAAAGGTCTTGTTACTGACAAATAGGGAAAATCCCTAATGAAAAGACAAATCATCACCCATATTGATTGAATTACAGACATATACTTCAATGAAAGAACTATTTCTGATTACACACTGATACTGATTATTCAGTATAAATAAAGGAAGACAAAGAAGACATCAAATTAAATAGAGCAAATTAAAACCATTTCTATATAGTAATTGGTCAGTTCAAACATCAACTTTTTTTGTAATGGAGTTCCAATTAAATCACTTACTTTCTTTTAGTGTCTTATTTTTTCCATTAATGTGGTTTCTAAAAATGTTGCAAATTCTACTTGCATCGTTTTAGGAATATAAGCATATCATCAGGCATCAAATCGTTTGATTGATCAAGTGGAAAGTAAAAAAAAAGGAAAAAATAATTTACCATGATTTCAATTAATTGATTGAAGGAATTATTGGATCAGACTATCCAATAGGGGCCCTTTGAAAGATTTAAATCAAATCGCCACAAAACTTAGTCGCATTTGGTCTGTACAGAATGTACTTACATGGTCACATATATATACATGGCTGCATGATTGGGTGGGCACATTTTCTTCTTCCGGCTGCCTTGGAAATTATTTCTGAGTTGTTCTTTCAGCCATTGGTGTTGTTTATTTATTTTCTCTTGAAATAAAGGGGGTCCAAAAGCCAAACTTTACAGACTAATGTAGAGAGAGAGAGCAAGGTTCGATCTGAGTTCTCATGCATTCAAGTGTCAAGTTTGTGATCCATAACATAACATAGTAAGGACGCTTTATTCCTTGTATTTGAGTCCAGAAGAAAACGTACACAGTTCCCGATTCCTTCAGACAGACAGTCCGCGCCTCTTTTCAGGTCCTCGGAATTGGCGGAGGAGAGAGAGATGGAAAGGAAGTTGGGAAGTTGGGCCCGCCTCCCTGTGTGACAAGTTGCTTAACTCTTATTTAACTAATCTCCTCAGATTCTGATAAATACATGATTGATTTCGGGCTTTGGGGTACAATACAAAACAAAGAAAGCCAACAGATAGTTCCAAGTTTATACAGAGAAAAAGCCTTTTGTTTAATACTGAGGTTAATTCCTTAACAATATTATACTACATATATAAAGGAGAGGGAGAAGGAGAGAGAGAAAAATAAAGAGAGAGAGAGAGAGGCAAAGCTGAGTTGCCTTTGATACTGCATTCGTCCTCCTTGTCAGCACATGCAATCCACTTTCCACTACAAAATCGACTTTGGACCCCAAATTTTCCCTCACCAACAAGAAAAGAACAGCCAGCATGCCATTCTAAAATGTCACACACCCTCCCTCAGTCTCAAATTAATTTAACCACACACAAACAACTCATAAATATATATTAATATATAACAGAGCCGAATAGATTTACAACCTATATATCTATCTACCTGCAATATAATCATCAACACACTCTCGATTCCCCCACTTCTCTCCTTTGGTTTCCAATAACCCAAAAGTTATACTTACAAATCCATTCCATCCCTTGTGCAGCAGCCTAGCTAGTCTCCTGGCCTATCTTCGATTCTTATCCAAATTAATGAGACCTTGTAGTAGTACTTCTATGATAAAACCCCAACAAGCTCTTCCCTGATCTTAACCGATAGATCGTCAGCATATAAGCCGCGCCTCTCCTTCTGCTACTAGTTTTCTAGCTAGCTAGTACGACGTGCTATACAACTTGGAGTTGGAGGAAAAAGAGAGATGAGAGCAGGAGGTTGCACCGTGCAACAGGCTCTAACAGCAGAGGCCGCAACCGTCGTAAAACAAGCAGTTAACCTTGCAAGGCGGAGAGGCCATGCCCAAGTGACTCCTCTTCATGTAGCGAATACCATGCTCTCTTCCTCCACTGGCCTCCTTCGAACAGCTTGCCTTCAATCTCATTCCCACCCTCTTCAGTGCAAGGCCCTTGAGCTCTGCTTCAATGTCGCTCTCAACCGCTTGCCGGCATCCACGTCTAGCCCCATGTTAGGTCCTCATTCCCACCACCCTTCCCTCTCTAATGCCTTGGTTGCGGCCTTCAAACGGGCTCAAGCCCACCAGCGCCGCGGTTCCATTGAGAACCAGCAACAACCCCTACTGGCTGTCAAAGTAGAAATTGAACAGCTTATAATCTCCATCCTAGATGACCCAAGTGTTAGTAGAGTCATGAGAGAAGCCGGATTCTCTAGTACCCAGGTGAAAAGCAATGTGGAACAAGCCGTCTCTTTGGAGATCTGCTCTCAGAATCCTTCTGTTGGTAATAAGTCCAAGGAAAGTAGTAACTCTCTAATCGTCCTTGGGAGTACTGTCCCCCAATCTCCTCCTTTGAGTCAGTCGTTTATTGGAATGAAAGTCAGCAAACCAAGACCTTTAGATGATCATGTTAGGAGTGAAGATGTGGTGAGCGTCCTGGAGACTTTGATGCATAGGAGAAGGAGAAGTACGGTTATTGTAGGAGAGTGTCTGGCTACTGCTGAGGGTGTAGTTAGAGGAGTGATGGATAAGGTTGAGAAGGGAGAGGTTCCTGAAGCTTTGAGAGATGTGCAGTTTATAAGCCTTCCCCTCTACCCTTTTGGGAATCTCTCAAAGGAGGAAGTTGAACAGAAGCTTGGGGAACTCAGATGCCTGGTGAAAAGCTATGTCAATAGAGGAGCCGTTTTGTATTTGGGTGATCTCAAATGGGCTGCTGAAGTTAGGGCTAGTTCTGGTGAGCAAGGTAGGAACTACTACTGCCCTATAGAGCACATGATCATGGAGCTTGGCAGGTTGATGTGTGGATTTGGAGAAAATGGAAGATTGTGGCTTATGGGGATTGCAACCTTCCAGACTTACATGAGATGCAGAATTGGCCAGCCTTCCTTGGAGACTATTTGGAACCTTCATCCTCTTACAATTCCTGCAGGAGGCTTGGGCTTAAGTCTCAGGTCTGAAAGGTAAAAATTCATTTACGTTTTGTCTAGATTGAATTTTGTCGTATTCTGGCTATTCTTTCATCTTCCTCCCCTTTGGCAGAATTAAAATTTAATGTTTTATTTTTTTTAATTGATAGGACGAAGGTTATAATTTTAGATTTTTGAAGGGTAGGCTTCTATGTATCACAGTGAGTCAGTAGGAACCCGTCCATGCTTTCTTTCTGAATAAATGAAAAAAGAAAAATAGAATAATTATTATCTTTATTTATTTACTTATTTGTTTGGAATCAAGGATTTCAAATGGTTTAAAGAGTACTGTAACTTGCCTTTACTTGCTTTATATATTTTTTAAACTATATGAAGAACTAATAATAAAATAAAACGGAATTCAAATAATTTTACCTGGATAAATTGCTCATTGAGTGATCTTGTTAAATTTATATAACTACATGTATTCAAGTCCTCATGTTTTAATATTGTGCCATATATATTTTTAATTTCTCCCCAGAAAAAAAAAGAACTGCTCTTTAATTAAATTATATGAAAATTTGAAATAGTTAACAACGTTGTCAATCTTCTGTACAAAATGGCTAACCAAATGCTCTTATCCTTCCTCTCAGTGACTCGCAAGGCCAATTCAGAAGTAAGAGAACTGTAGATGCTCCCGGTTGGCCCCTGCTTGAAGGTGCAGAGAAACAACTCACTTGCTGCAGCGATTGCTCAGCGAAGTTCGAGACAGAAGTTCGAAGCCTAACAAGCAGTAGTCATAACCATGACTCTATTACAACTTCCAGCACCTCAAGCTTACCTTCATGGCTTCAACAGTACAAGAACGAGAGCAAAAGAAATACCAGTAATGATCAGGTAATCTTAGTAAGCTTAATTTACTACTTAAAGCTAAAACGTTAAATATGTCATTTTTATGCATGTCTGAAATCTGATTTCTTTTTCCTTTCTTTCTATCAGGACTGTGTCCAAGTCAAAGATCTCTGCAAGAAGTGGAACTCAATTTGCAGTTCAATCCACAAGCACCACAACCCACCCGCCGACAGAACCCTAAATTTTTCTTCGATCTCACCTTCTTCCTCTACTTCAGTCTCTTCCCATGAGCACTACTCTAACTTGCACCAGCCTAACCATGGCTGGCCTGTCGTTATTGAACCCAAACAATCATGGAGGGAGCACCATTTCTGGATCTGCGAAACTGGGGTTGATGAGAGCTTCAACCCAAATCTAAGAATGTACATTCCAGATCACCGGGAGCCAAAACCGTCTCTCTTATCCAATCCCAACTCTAACCATAACTCCACCCCTAATTCAGCTTCTTCTAGTGATGCAATGGAAATGGAGTACCTTCACAGATTCAAGGAACTTAATGCTGAGAACCTGAAGACCCTATGTAATGCGTTGGAGCAAAAGGTTCCATGGCAGAAAGACATAATTCCTGAAATTGCAAGCACCATTCTTCAGTGCAGGTCCGGAATGATAAGAAGGAAAGGGAAGCTGAGAAACAGTGAGGCCAAAGAGGACACTTGGTTGTTCTTCCATGGTGTTGATGTCGAAGGAAAAGAAAAGATTGCAAGAGAGTTGGCTGGCCTTGTTTTTGGTTCTCAGAATAACTTTATCTCAATCGGTCTGAGCAGATTCTCATCAACAAGGGCCGATTCCACGGATGATTTCAGAAACAAAAGATCTAGAGATGAGTCAAGTTGCAGCTATCTCGAGAGGTTTGCTGAAGCAGTTTGCAGCAATCCACACCGTGTCTTTTTAATGGAAGACGTAGAGCAGGTTGATTACTGTTCTCAGTTGGGTATTAAGAATGCAATTGAAAGTGGGAGAGTCACAAATTCCATTGGTGAAGAAGTCCGTCTCACTGATGCCATTGTCATTTTGAATTGTGAAAGCTTCAGCTCAAGATCGAGAGCCTGCTCTCCTCCCATTAAGCAGAAATCCAGTGAGACGACAGAAAAAGAGAAGAGTGCGGCCGAGTGTGAGAAGGAAACAAGCCCATGTGTCTCCTTGGATTTGAATCTCTCTGTCGAAGAAGATAACATCGATGATCAGTCCATTGACGACATTGGACTTCTTGAATCAGTAGATAGACGGATAATTTTCAAATTACAGGAATTGTAAAAAAAAAAAAAAAAAGAAAAATAGAACCAGTGTAGACATCTTCTTCGGCTTGTAGTTTTGTTTCTTAGCCCGAGATTCAGTTTTTTTTTTTATTTTCTTTCCTCCATGACAAATTCTTGAATATTTCCTTTGAATGAATATGGAAGAAGGAATTCGCCATGTAGAACTACATGTATATTATCATCATCATCTTATTGTAATTGGTTTCTGACCTCCCTTTTTTTTTCTTTCTTCTTTGGGTTTTCAATGGCCGTTTATTCCGTTATTTTCTCCTTTTGTCTCTCTCCACAGGAAGATTTTTGTTTGTTATCCATTTTGGGTGAATGAGTTGCATTCATATAACAGAAAGAATAATTTTCTTCCCCTCATTTGTTGTTCCTTTCTGTCAAATATATGGGTTGGAAATCTGGAAGTCAGTGTTTCTTTGTCATGGATGATTACATGGGCCCAAGCCCAAAGCCAAAGGTCTTCATCCACTTACCACCTAATCACACGTGCATATATATATATATATATATATTTATACACACGTGTGGTGACCTCTTTAAGTGTCTCCTACGTGTTTATGCATGCATTTGTGTGGATGAGGATGAGTTCAACCCACTGTGGGTCAGTGTGGAATGAAGGAATTAGCTTGAGAAAATTGGGGCTCACTTTATTCTGCAGATCAGATAAAGTCCATCTCAAGGCCCATGGTATTGGATTGACAACCTTAGCCTTTAAAAATTTATCTATAATATATATTTAATCTGTAGCTATATATGAATTAGGAATTATTCGAATTAAGATGGATTTAGCAACAATTGTCAACCTCAAATTGCAACTCAGATGAATTTATCAGTTGTCAACTAATTCCTTGAATTGCTACTCTTGTGGCGTACACCGAGTTTGACGGTGATGAGATGTTTGGACTTTGGACAAGTGATTGCACATATGGCTGGTGGGTCCTACATAATTAGATGCTTATTATGACTCAAGGGAGTGTTAGAAAAATTTAGAAGATGCCATCAATTAATGTGGGGTGGTAAACTTTTATTAAATTCAATCCGCTACGTATGTAATTCACGTTTGAAACATTTCCTCTGGGAGTTTGGGGGGCGTTCGTTTTTAGGATTTTGAGAGGGATCAACAAATTTATATTTTTTAGATTTATGTGGGATGGGAGAAAGTTTATTTTTCTGGGTGTGTGGGTAAATAATTTTTTCATCACTTCGTCAGGGAAATTGTTAATATTTGAATGGGACAAAAATGTTCTTTTAATAATGAATTTTTATAGTTAAAGATGTTATTATTTTATTTATCTGAGAGATTGAGAATGAAATAAAAACAAAATATGAATATATGTATTTACCGGGATAAATAATTTACCAAAAAGAGAACAGGGCCTTAGTAAAATCTGTATCACTAAAGAGGAAAGTTGCACCTTCTAAATTCAATCACTAGTTAGAGGTTGTTTGATAACAGCTTGAGTGGTTGAAGTGAATGACATATCACTTTGTCTTTTCATTTAATGAACAATTTTTTCAAGAAATATATCCTAATTAAGCTGCTTAGGGACGGAGACTTTATTATTTAACACAAATCAATAAGTCATTCAGTTCAATTATATACATGTCCTGACCATTTCCTGACTAATCTTAGCAAGAACTAATGAATCAATAATGGATTCAATTCCCAGATGAAAACCAAAACGGGCCCTAAATTAATTAATAAACCCCCATTTCTTCTTATTCTTCTTCTTCATTGGGGTCCTGAGTAGTAAGACCTTCAGGAGGATAATTATTTCATCCATCAACCTGCAACAAAGATTGCTATATAGATGACAGGGGGTGTACTTCTCTTGGATCACTCAAACAGAATCCTTGTTAAGTGATCATAATGAGTTCCCCCCTTCCGAAAATCTTAGAGAAGAAGAAAATAATGAGATTATGATTCATATTCCCTCTAGAATAATCTAAGGAGGTGCTCCAAACAGAATCATTATACATGGTTGCTTATATGGGGGAGTGGGACACATGATGATGATGAAGCCATTCTCTCTGATTATTATTATTATTATATACATGTGGAACACATGCTATTGGTTTGACACCCTAGCTTCTATCAACAAAGATGCTTCAACAGTTATTAACAAATTTTATAATTCCTGCCGTTTAATTATATATGCAAAACTAGAAACACAACAGCCTGCCTCGAATTCTGGGCGCGTTTTAATGAATCACTACTCTTTTTCTTTACGTTTCTTGAATCGGGGGAGGGGTGTTGTAACAAAACCCCAAGTGACATGGCACACCCAAAAGTAAAAAAGCAAAACACTTTTCTGAGTTGTCACATCCTAATTGTAATAAAGTTTTGTAATAATGATGGAAATAGAATACTTTAATTGCCACATATTAATCTTTGTCTCCACTCTCTACTCTACAGATTCCAGGCAAAAACATAAACGATGCAAAGAGCTCCGATCCCCTACGACCCACAACCTTATTACAGCTCTACATTGAGAATATCTCCCATATTTGCATGGCAATATTGGTTATTATTCATGGGGAGATGTTTCCAATGATAATTGTAGTGTCATGTGTAAGATTCTTGTGGGTAAGAGAGATAAAAGATACACTGTCAAATATATATGATGAAACAAGTTAAAAAAGTGTAAGGGTACGTAGGTCTATGTGTTTTATGATATGTATCGCTTTTTGAATCTATATATACAATACTAAATACTAAGAGTTAGTGATGTTTTGGTTCAATTCTTAAAACTGTATTGATACATAAAATGCAACAATATATGGACTATTCCCATAGATGGGTTGAAAAAACAAAGGAAAATAATGGAAAAGAAAGAAGCAAATTAAACAAATTAATTAACATGGGGTTGCACCACATATAAAAACTTTGATAAATTAGTGTAAAGGAATGAAGTAAATACACACAAAGTAAGATTAAGATGTGATCCATAACGTAAGGGTTGTGCAAAGGAGAGGCCACTTTAGAAGGAAAAAGCAAAATCTTCCTCAAGAAATATCAAAAGGCTCTACTTTTCATGCATGGTGATGCGTTTCGAAAAGAATTACTTTTCCTTCTTTAATTTCATAACCCCAAAACATTCTCATCTTTGAAAAGCAGCGGTTGAAGGATTTAAATAAAAAACAAATAAAAGGAAAAATTAGCACCCCTCGCACCAAATATTCATAAACAATAAGCATCTCATCTTTAGACACTAAAGATGTTGTTACTTTAGAATCATGAAAAGAAAATTATCTCAAGCAGCTTTCAAAATTGAAACCCCAAGTGTAAGTAGGGAATTTGTCGCTTGTGGATTTTGAAAAGATTAGGGGTTTGGGGGGGGGGAATTAATGCACTATAAGTTCGAAGCACAAATTTGGAGTTAGATGAATGAATTGTTCCCGTCTTTCTCACATGCTTTCTTTTCAAACTCTCCATCATCTTAAATATATATTCTCCCTTACTTTTGGGTTTACTTCTTTTGTAACTCTTTTATTCCCAGTCTTGTGTTTAAAAGGGAGAAGCCTCTCTAAGTTAGACTGCTTTTTCTCTAGTCTTTTCCTTTTTTTTTTTTTTTTNCTCTTCTCTTCACTCTTTCAGTCTTCACATGGAAGAAGAGAGTGGGCCCATTTCTTGAACTTCATATAAACGATGAACAGTTTATATTGAATATGGAGAAGCCTCTCTAAGTTAGACTGCTTTTTCCTAGTCTTTTCCTTTTTTTTTTTTTTTTTGCTTTTTCCTTTATTTTTTGTTTTGTCTTTAAAAATTTTGTCTTGAATAAATGAAGTTATTCTCTTCTCTTCACTCTTTCAGTCTTCACATGGAAGAAGAGAGTGGGCCCATTTCTTGAACTTCATATAAACGATGAACAGTTTATATTGAATATGAGGTTACGTTGCTCCATGCATGCAAACAATTAATTAATTTACAGTTGCACACAAAGTTATTATTAATCAACAAATTATATCCACAGCTAGCTAGCTTAGATATGGATTCACCGGTACGTCCTCCAAATAAATTAAAACCTGAACTACATGCGCATGTTAGATAAAAAAAAAAAAAAAAAAGAATATGCCACAAATACTTGTTAAAATACGACCCCCAAAAAATAAATAAATAAATATGTCTGTGACTCTGTTTGGGGGGATAATCCATGATTTTGAAAAGCTAAAACAGACAAAGATACAGTTCTTTTTCCAAGAAAAACCAAACACCCCTCGTATTCCGAGATGCAAATAATATGTGCAGAGAATGTAATCTCTGACAGTATTTTTTCCCAGTTTTTGTTGTCTTCCCATCACGTGGATATAAGTTATTTAGTTATGTAGGTTTTCTAATTTTACATTCATCAAATAAGAGACAAGAACAGTAGAGTAATAATGCTATAGGTCTGACCATGCCTTAAGGCTACTGTCTCAAGGAAACTAAGTTAAAGGTTTCAAAAGGTACGTTTGAATTCTAATATCGATGCCATGGACTCATTAAAAATAGTAGCTAGTTTTCTCAGCTTGATCAGAATTCAGCTTACCATTTACCTTTCATCCGAGGAGTTGGACATTCAGTAGATTAGTCATAAAAGTTAAATTTAATTATATAATATTAACTTATATCTTTATCCTTTATTATATATATATATATATCTTTATTGCAGTAAATACAAGCATGCATGTATACACTTGTACACATACAACCCATCCTGAAATTAAGTCCGGGTTAATATTTTTCAACCCTAACTTCAATCAGCCGATGATAATCCAATCAACTTTTTTGAGGTAAAAAAGAAAAAGATGAAGAAAATGGCCAACTAAAAAGGAATCAGGGAAAAGAAAGAGGAACTCCACAAATCAGTCTTTTCTTCACCACTATTGTCACCGGCAGTAGTCATACAAGATTGAGTTTAAGTTGGTCTGCTCAAGGGGGGCTATTATTTTTCAACCCCAACTTCAATTTTTATTTCAAGGCTGGGTTTGAACTAACAGTTGAAGATTTGTACCTCTAGTTTCACTTGCAGAAAAAATTAGAGAAGGAAAAAAGAAAAATGGAAAAAAAATTGCCAACTAAAAAGGAGTAGATCTAGAGAAAAGAAAGAGAGATTGAATAACCAGTCTTTTCCTTTGCCATTATTGTCAGCGGCAGTCATACAGGATTGAGAGATGCATGTGTCTGTCTGTGTTCTG